ATTTTTTTTTTTTTTTTTTTTTATTATTATTATTATTATTATTATTATTATTATTTAATGCTTATCGAGCGAGCAGTTTCTTGAATTTAGGGTAAAACCGGAAAAGGGATGTGGGGCGTTGTGGGCCCATTGCAGGGTTCCAATATGTATTTCATGATGATGACATAAAGCTGTAAACCGAACATGATGAGGCCAAATGTGTCTTCTGCACTCCTTTTTTTTCGGTCGCAGAGAGAGGATTCCAGTCATGGAGAAAATGCTGTAAGAATAAAACAGCAAAGAAATTGCAAGAGCATCATGCTAGTCAGCAGCATGCTCGTAGAGAATGTTCCAAGGCAATTGCGGCATTGAAGAGGAACGCAGCCGATAGGAAGAGAAAAGGCATAAAGGAAGACAGTGCACGGAGGCATATGATTCGCCATAGGTGCAGCAAGGCACTGAAGGCATGGGACTTTCATCTAAATGGAGTGCAGGTTAGTTGGTCTTTTCTTTTTTGCCATAACTGCCTAGGCTGTCAGCCGTGCCGCCCGGGGCACCTTGTTTTTTCCCGGGGGTCCCGGAAAAAAAGAGACAAAAAATCTGAAAAAAAAAACTATGTTATGCAGAAAAATAAACTGCACAACTCTTGCCTCAGGGTCACATCGAAATTATTTACCAAATTGAAATAAAAAAATAAAATTAAAAACCTTCCTTTTTTTTTGGGGGGGGGGGCGGTCGGGCAAGTGGTCCCGCGCCTCTCTGGTAGCCTAGATAACTGCAGCAAAGCTCAGAATGAAAGAACTGGAGGGCAAACACCACTTTCGGCATGAGATCAAACTTCATCAAAGATAATACGATACACAAATTTGCACTATCTGTTTATGGCATGCATATCAAAGATGAGTCGCTGCAATTTGAACTCAATCTTGGGGAGGCTTTTTCTCTCACAGTGCACACATCGAGATCCTGGCATGTGGCGAACAATTGTGATCATCCTTCTGCCTCCTGCTCAGATGATCATCTCAGCCATTTTCTACAATATATAGTAAAGTTGCACGTAGGTTTCAGTATCAGCACTTTACCGCTGTCCTATTCCTCATTCCAAACCATCAGCATAATAGCCCTCGATTTTTGTATGCGCTGCATATCAAGCGTTTCCCAAGCAGTTTCCTGAAACGAGTGCTGAAACGTTTTGCGAAGGGCAAGGACCAGATCCGGGCATGGACACACAAACTGGTGGTTTGGAGATGACTTGTGGTAAGCTTGAGCAGTGGGTGGCCTTCTAGCTGTGTGTGGGTGGCCTTTTAGTTGTGTTTTTTGTGCATCTTGCGGCGGCTGCTATTCTATTACTAGTGTACATTAGTTTTGTTGCTTTAGATGTGTGGATAGGGTGTAGGTGGTCCCTACCGTCTTCCCCCGAACATAACGCACCCTGATAATGAACGTATACAAGGTATGTTTCCGGCCGGATACAGTCAAAATGAAGGTGCGTTGTGCTCGGGGGAAGACGGTAGTACCTTGTCTGTTGCTTTGCCTTCTGTTCTTCTTAGGATGTAGAGACAGGGTGTTAGCCTTTGATTGTGTGTGCTTTTGCCTATCGTTCGGATGTCTGACGAGGCTGAGTTTTTCTCAACTTGTTTAATTTTGTTTTGCCTATGGGTACCCCTTGGTACTCTGCTTTCCGAATTCGGTACGGAAGGCTTGCGCTATCGGTAACCTTCTGTGATTTGGTAATTGGGTATGCTTTTCGGACTGTAGGTTGTGGCAGTACGATTGACGTCATATAAAAAGTAATGACTGACACGCCTTTCGGTCTTTTCGGGTCCAACGCATAGGGGAACCTGTGTCATTTCCGGAGATGATTGCGGAGTTTTTCTGCGAAGGTGGGTGAGAGGAATTCGACGTTCTAGTCTCGGGCGAAGTTAGGCGGTTCCCCCTGAGGAGGACAGCGTGGCGGCTGTCGAAACCGGTCGGGGTGCCATACCCGTCAGCGTGTTGACTTGACTTGTACCATTTTCTTGTGCATGTATGTGTATTTCTGTGCATATGCGTGTACTTGGGGACTTTGTACGTGTAATATTGTGCGTCTTTCATAATATCTATCCATCATCAATCAATCATGAATTGTTCTAATTGCAAAACAACAAATTCTTGCTTCAGAAGTTAGGTGGTTCCCCCTGAGGAGGACAGCGTGGCGGCTGCCGAAACCGGTCGGGGTGCCATACCCGTCAGTGTGTTGACTTGTCTTGTACCATTTTCTTGTGCATGTATGTGTACATCTGTGCATATGAGTGTACTTGGACTTTGTACGTGTAATATTGTGCGTCTTTCATAATATCTATCCATCATCAATCAATCATAAATTGTTCTAATTGCAAAACAACAAATTCTTGCTTCAGAAGTAGCCTTGAAAGTTTTGCGAAGAGTTTTTTGACTAAACAACACAAACCATCAAAACTAAAATTTTTTTCTTCTTCTTCTTCTTCTTCTTCTTCTTCTTCTTCTTCTTCTTCTTCTTCTTCTTCCATGTTATAATGGGATCCTTATTGTTCAAAGTTCAAACATAACATATGCATCCGATATAGTGCAGTTATTGATGGATTGGATTATTATGAACCAAAAAGCGGCGAAAACATATAATGCTCCATACCCCTGTTCATTCCCAGCTCTCCTCTTTGGATCGCATGATATCAGGTTTGCTCCCCACATTATCTGAATATAGTTTTTGATTTTTTTTTTTCGGTGTTGTTGTACATTTTATTGTATTTATCTTTTTATCAAACCAGGTTTCTCGCCGAGGGAATATTAAGAGTGTCCTTCACTATGCAGGCACCCTCGCAAGGAAGGCATTCTTCCAGTGGACTAAGTGGGTGAGTAAGGACAAATTTGAAATTCGAAACACTAGCATCCGGTCCTCCTGTCCCCATTTCTCAATCATTAAACTGTTTAGGTAACTCGTGATGCCAGGAAGAAAGAAGGAGAATTTTGTGATTTGATATAACGAAGGGAAGCATTGAGTGTGCTATTGTTGGAAGGGACGTCGGACCCGGCTTACAGTCTTACTGAAAACTCGTAAAATGAATATATATTACCGAAAAAAAAAAAAAAAAGAAAGAAGAAGAAAACACCCCTCGTCTCATAAAGAAACTGTGGTAGCATCACTGGAGTTATCCGAGGGTTTATGGTAAGAAAAAAGTATTAAGAAATTCCCAAAATTGTTTATTTCTCCTTGATTCAACAAAAAGCTTGATATTTTAGTCTTTTTAGAGTATTTCCACCCTTCTTGTTTGGTTCTTCTTTTTTTTGTTATTAACTTATTATCATCATAAATCGAAAAAGTCATACACATTACTAAATATTGTCTTGCTTCTTGATTGAACAAAATAGTTAATAATTTACAATGTTCACAATTAGGAAGTCTTATTATATAATATATATAAGATTATTGGTGTAACTCCAATGCCCCCTAATGGATGTCGTCCTCCTAAGAAACACTGCGTAGAATATCATATCATCGCTTCTATCGGATTGGCAGAGGCACAAACGAAGAAGGTGCTGGCGAGCCTCTACCACATTTATTTTGACAAAATCGGTGATTTGGGTAATTAACAATAAAATTGAGTAAATGGTCATTGTTTTGATACAAACGACAAAAAAGATGGCTATGTTAGAAGGTACAAAATTATTTTGAGTGGGCTGCGGAAAATTTGCATTAGCTGGGTCGTTGTAGGTGTTGGAAACGTATCTCCCTTTTTTTTAAGTTTTTTATATCGCAAGTCTCAGAGAGTGGTAAAGAAGTACTAAAAACTTAGTAAAAAGGTTGATATATCAATGGTGTTTAATACTGTTTATACACTTCTTTTCCTTTTATAATGTCGCACATTCTAAAAGTGTTGGGTCGTTGTAGGTGTTGGAAACGTGTCTCCCTTTTTTTGAAGTTTTTTATATCGCAAGTTTTCGAGAGTGGTAAAGAAGTACTAAAAACTTAGTAAAAAGGTTGATATTTCAATGGTGTTTAATACTGTTTGTACACTTCTTTTCCTTTTATAATGTCGCACATTCTAAAAGTGTTATTAATCGTTTCTTTCTTCTTTGATTCAACAAAAGGTTTGAACTTTGATGCTTTACATTGTTTACTGCCCTCTTTTTCTATTTCCCTCTTTCTCTTAGAAGTTTTGCAATCAATGTGAAGAAAAGGAGAGAATTTTAATTTTATGATCCCGGCAAACCACTCCTAGTATCCCTCCAGTTTGTTTGGAGTGCTAGTACCTTTACAAAAAAAGTGAATTTGCCTTTGATTTAACACAAAGCTTGATTTTTTACACACTTTTTTTTTTTTTAATTCAGTTTCGATTTTTTCGAACTTTTGTTTTCTTTGCTTTTTTGTTTTTGCTCAAAACATTTTGTACGCAAACCTTTTTGTATTTCAAAATAGTGTACAAGTGCAACATGTATACAACACTCGCCTACCAGCTGCGTGCCCCGGTTTGCCTTTAACTAGTTCGGGTGGCTCCTGCCAGGCCAGGTCCGGGTGTACGGGATGCTCGCAATTGCGGAGGGTCTTAGATTCTGTGTGGATGCTGCTGCCTGAGGAGGATCTCATGGATGTCGCATATTGACGATGTACGCTCTTGCTGCAACGGAGCTGGGGTGGGCTGAATGTCACGACCGGTATGGCTCCATTTTTTAACACCGGGTCACCGTTGCAGTGCTTAAGGCATCCGACTGTTATAGCCGAGGTCACCGGTTCAATTCGGTCTGGCTGCGGAACGATCACTTGGCTACAATGATAAACTTACGGACAGGTCCAGGCAAAGTATCGGTCAAGGTCATGGACAGCCCCAGCGCAGAAAAAAAAAAAAGCAAAAAAATCTGAAAAAACTTGCTGCACGGCAGAAATTGGCATTGGGAGTAAGAGAGGCTTGGACGAATTGGTGGCTTAGAAGTTTAGACAGATTTTTGATAGTTGTTTGTTTCCTGCTCTTTTCTTTCCAGAATCGGATTATCTTATCTGAGCCAAAGCAGGCAAGTATAATTTGGAAATTATATTCAAATTAATAATTGTGATTTTTTTTTTCTTTTTCTCAAAATTGGACCATTTCTCGATTTATGCTCGTCATCCTTGTGTAGGGGCCATGCTAAGCTTATTCTCTGTACCGTTCCAATTTTAACGGATGTCCCAAAGGAAAGGAAATTGTATGAAGTTATAATCATCAAAACTGAAAATTCACATTTTCAAAATTCAACCAATCCAGCCTCTTAAAAAAAAAGAAAAAAAAAACAATCCAGCCTCTACTATGACCTGGACTTAAAAAAAAAAAAAAAAAAAAAAAATTACAGCCTGTACTACGACCTGGACAAAAAAAAAAAAATCAACCAATCAATCACTAACATAGATAACGGCACCAAAATTACATAATGCAGGTGAAGGACATTCAAGAGCTACAAGATGTTCAAAAGGGTACTGTATTTCACATGGAACGTTATCGCATGCGTGTGGCCTTTGCTGCCTGGAGGAGATGGGCTAAGCTCATCATTGACGTTAGAGACAAAGGTAAGGGTAAAGTCAAAAACCACACACAGATCGGATTTCTCAAATATAGAAACAGTATGGTATCAATCTCAGTTGGATTGCAAAAGAAGTAAGTGAAGGAATGACCCTCTATAAGGGGAGAGGCGAGAAAGAGCTCAAACAAGCAATCGACAGGCAGCTTCATATCAGATGATGTTCAAATTGGAATTTCATTGTTCAAGAGATATGGAGTGTTTGTGTGTGTGTTCCACACACATACACACACACACACACACACACATACCCACACACACACACACACACACACACACACACACACA